ACATTCCACCTGTGCCCATTGATAGGTAAGGAGTGGCCAGGGCCAGGCAGGGCCTGGGGAGAGGGACAGATGGAAGCTACTGTCCCTGCCCCTGTTAGTCATGGTGGATGAGAACTGACTGGCAGGGAACTAGTATTTTCCAAAGAGCAAAAGGACAGCCAGGCTCTTGTCTTTGGCCCTCACACCTGTGTTTCCCACCTTTCTGTGTTCACGTGCCCAGCTATAATCTTAGCTTCTATTTGTAAACCTTCTGGGGCCAGGAAGAGCAGGGGAGTAAGGGACAGCTGCCACCAGTAGGGAGTAGTGACGGAGACAGGCTCCAATGTCCATTTTCCCCCTTTTTTCAGTAAAAGAAGTCCCAGGTTTTACCTAACTATAAATGTTTTCCAGCCTCTCTTGCAGCTAGACATGACCATCTGTCCTAAGAGGTTGCGCGTGTGTGCTGCTTCCAGGTCAGGACCTTAAAAGGAAGTACTGTGCTCTCACTTCCCCTTTCCCTTACTGAGAACCTGATGGTGGGGGCTGGCCACCCCGTAGGTCCCCAGTCCCTGGAGGGATGCAGAGCAAGAAGACGGAAGGAGCCTGGGTCCCTGGATGATCTCATGGGGAACATGCACTTACCCATCCCGGGCTCCCACCAGCTCAGGCTTTCCTATAAGAGAAAGGTGAGGCTATCTTGTCAAGCCTCTTGTCTTTTGGGTCTCTAAAAGCTGTCAGACCACATCCTAAATACGCTACAGGAGTGAATGGATGGGAGTCCCTAGGACCAGGCCAGGTCTCTACCCATGCTCCCGCTCCAAAACGTTAGCATGGCCATAAAGAACTACTACGTCTTCAGGGCCTGGAAGGTCTCACACTGTTGCTCCACATTTTACTGGCCTGGTTTCCTTGCGTAAGAAACTGCACCTTTTTCAGGCTCATTTGCCTCATATAAAACGTGGGGATCTGGCTGGGCATGGTGGCTCATGCCTATAATCCCAGCATGGTGGGAGGATCACTTGAGGCCAGGAGTTTAAGACCAGCCTGAACAATATAGCAAGACCCCATCTCTATAAAAAATTTAAAAATTAGCCACACGTGGTGGCATGCATCTGTATGTAGTCCCAGCTACTCAGGAGGCTGAGGCAGGAGGATGGCTTGAGCCTAGGAGTTTGAGGTTGTAGTGAATTATGCCACTGCAACAGAGCAAGAGCCTGTCTCAAGAAAATAAAAGTAAAAAAACCTAAACAAACAAACCATGGGGATCCTATTGGCAGTTTCATGAGGAATAATGAGGTGGTGTTTTTGAATAATTTTTAAAAACCTGAATCGTTTGAGCTCAGGAGTTCAAGACCAGCCTGAGCAAGAGCGAGACCCTGCCTCTACTAAAAAAAATAGAAATTAATTGGCCAACTAAAAATATATAGAAAAAATTAGCGTGGCATGGTGGCACGTGCCTGTAGTCCCAGCTACTCGGGAGGCTGAGGCAGGAGGATTGCCTGAGCCCAGGAGTTTGAGGTTGCTGTGAGCTAGGCTGACACCACAGCACTCTAGCCCATGCATCAGAGTGAGACTCTGTCTCAAAAAAAAAAAAAAGATATCTATTGAGCATCATTTTCCTTATGCCAGGCAGGTTCTGTGCAAGACCACTGACCTCACAAGGTAAGATTTCCATGCACACAGGAGGAAACAGGTCCGGAGTAACTAACATGCTTGTCCACAGAGCACTAAGGCATGGAACAAGGATTCCCCCGTGAACAGATCGACTGCCAGAACCCAAACTTGCAGCCGCTCTGCTCTGTACCGGCTCTAACGTGCCATTAGCACGGGGCCTGGCATCAGGTAACCTCGCTCATAACTCAAGTGATAGCACCAACTCTGAGCCACCCCACTCAGCGGTGCACAAGGCCGACGAGGTCCCCACCCTCGTGGAATTTCTGTTCTCATTTCGCATCTGCTTGCCAGCAAAGCCACATCATCGCTCGCCTGGCCTCATGCAGAGTAGAAACCAAAGATCTTTGGTTTCCAAGATCGCACCTCTCTTCCCTCCCTGCCACACCTACCGCTCTCCTTCCATTCCCTCCACTACTCTGACCTCTGCAGCTCCGCGGGCACCAGGTACTTTCCTGCCGCAGTGCCTTTGCATCGCTCGTCCTCTGCCCAGCACACCCTTCCTCCATACGCTTGTGGGCCCATCTTCAAATCTTTACTCAAAAAAGATTTCAGTGAGGCTCTCTCTGGTGACTCTATAAAATCCAGCCCCTGGCCAACACACCACACAGCCATCACTATTCAGTCCCCTTTCCTGTAGATTTCTTTTTTTTTTTTTTTTTGAGACAGAGTCTCGCTTTGTTGCCCAGGCTAGAGTGAGTGCCCTGGCATCAGCCTAGCTCACAGCAACCTCAAACTCCTGGGCTCAAGCGATCCTCCTGCCTCAGCCTCCGAGTAGCTGGAACTACAGGCATGTGCTACCATGCCCGGCTAATTTTTTCTATATATTTTTAGTTGGCCAATTAATTTCTTTCGATTTATAGTAGAGATGGGGGCCTCGCTCTTGCTCAGGCTGGTTTTGAACTTCTGACCTTGATCGATCTGCCCGCCTTGGCCTCCAGAGTGCTAGGATTACAGGCGTGAGCTACCGCGCCCAGCCTTAAATGTTCCTTTAAAAAAAAAAATACAGTGGGGGATGGGAGAGAAGAAAAAAATTGCATTTATTGAGATGTAGGTTGCATTAAACTCACTTATTTTAAACATGCAATTCAGTCATTTTCAGTAACTTTACCAAGTGGTGCAACTGTCACCATCATTCAGTTCTAGAACATTCCCTTCCCCTTTGTAAGGTCCCTCATACCCATTTACAGTTCATCCCTGTTCCTACCCCTTGGCTCCCAGCAACCACTCTGTCGCTATAATGCCTTTTCTGATCATCTCACATAAATGGTATCAGACAATATATGGTCCCCCGTGTCTGGCTTCCTCCACCTAGCGTGACATTTCGAGGCTCATCTGTGATGTAGCACACATCAGGAGTTTGTTCTTTGCTACTGCAGAATAATATTCCATTGTCTATCCGTTCACCAGTTGACGGACACTTAGTTTATTTCCAGTTTTTTTCTTAACATACTATACATCATTTTGTTTTCTCCACTGGAATGTCAATTTCGTGAGGCTGGAATTTTTGCTGATTTTGTTCACCTCTGTACCTCCAGCTCCTGAGCTGTGTTGGATTCACAGTAGGTGCTCAGTGAATACACGCGAAGGAACCAGGGGAATAGAGAGAACCGCAGAGGGAGGCTGTGCCGGGCAGCAAGCAGGGCAGGGGGATGGCGTGGCGGGGCTCCGGGTTGCTGGCAGTCAGGGCGGGTCCCTCTGGGGAACAGACGTTTGAGCAGACACCTGAGTGCACGAGGGTGTGAAAGCCATGTTCATTATCATCCCCAGGCCTCAGCCACCTGCCTCTGCCAAGACACCCACCCCTGCAGGAACAGGCAGCCCGAACAGCTGCTGCTGGCAGGGCAGGGCTGGAGAGGGACGCCCAGGGACGCTGAGTCACCCAGAGATAAGAGCAGCTGGCTCAGCTGCCCCAGTCCTTTCCCCATTCTGACCTGGGCCCAGTCCAGGGGGTGGGGGTGCCCGGGAAGGCAGGGCTCAGCTGGCTGCGCATTCCACTGGAAGCCCCCAAGAGGGTGAGACCGAGGGACCAGGCCAAGCCTTGGACACCACTGGGTTTGAATCACAGTTCCAGCCTGTTCATGCTCTATGTTTGCCCCCCATCATCTTGCCCGCTGCTCTGTTTTCTCACCTCTAAAATAGGGGTAGTAACAATACCTACTGTTATGGACTGAGTATTTGTGTCCCCCCCATCCATATGTTGAAGCCTAGTCCCCAACATGATGGCATTTGGAGGTGGGACATTGGCGCCGTAATCAGCTGAGGGTGGAGCCCTCATGAATGGGATTGGTGCCCTCATAAAAAGCGACATGAGATGATCTTGCTTGTGGCCATGTGAGAAGGCAGAGAGAGGGTGGCTGTCCCCGAACCAGGAAGCAGGCCCTCCCCACACACTGATCTGCCAGCACCTTGGTACTGGACTTCCAGCCTCCAGGACTGTGAGAAACACACGTCTGTTGTTTAAGCCCCGGGTCTATGGTATATTTGTTATAGCCGCCCAAACTAAGATACACACCTTTTCTTTTTTTAAAAAAAAAAGGGGGGGGCCGGGCCCGGTGGCTCACCCCTGTAATCCTAGCACTCCGGGAGGCTGAGGTGGGAGGATCGCTCAAGGTCAGGAGTTTAAAACCAGCCTGAGCAAGAGCGAGACCCTGTCTCCACTAAAAATAGAAAGAGATTAATTGGTCAACTAAAAATATATAGAAAAAATTAGCCGGGCATGGTGGCGCATGCCTGTAGTCCCAGCTACTCGGGAGGCTGAGGCAGGAGGATCGCTTGAGCCCAGGAGTTTGAGGTTGCTGTGAGCTAGGCTGATGCCAGGGCACTCTAGCCCAGGCAACAGAGTGAGACTCTGTCTCAAAAAAAAAAAGAGCCAAACACATTCTTTTATAAGCACTTACTCTGTGCCAGACACCATTTCTAGGAAATGAACCCATTTGAATCTCACATCGACTCCATGGGGTAGCTGTCATTTACAGATGAGGAAACTGAGGCACAGTGGTGAAGCAACTTTCTGGAGGCCGCCCCAATGACACAACTAGACATCACATGACTAGATGATGGTCCGAGTCTTTGCTCCACTGCTTCTCACCATGCCACGGGGGCTGTGAAGGTGAGTTGAGATGCCCACAGCCTTCGGAATGGCGCGTGGCGCTGTTCAAGTGTCATACACAAGCGTCAGCATCACCAGGGAACAGGACAGCATGGGGTGGCCTTTCTCCCTCTCATCTTCAGAGCAGGCATCTGGCCTTTTGGGGGGACCTGATGACAGCTGAAGCCCTTCCTCCCTGAACACCATCCACGGAACCCCTCAGGCACCAAGGCTGGGGCGAGGCAGTGACTGTCGCCTCTCCCACCTCCCTTCAGCTGGGCGGTACCAGGGAGGGGCGGTGAGTCAGGGCTAAGGACTCGGGACAAAGGTCTGGTGGGCGGCTCAGCATTCCTGGGGCGGGCAGGTCCCACTGCTCCTCCTGGCCCTGCAGACACACATTCCACCATGGACCTCGACCTGGCAGCAGGTGCGCTCCCTCCCGGAGAGTGCTGATCTGGCGGCGGCGCAGGGGGCCAGACTCAACCCTGGGGGCTGCCACCACGGGGGCACTCCCTGCCACCTGTGCCAACCCACCCAGCTTCTCTTCTCTCTGCAGCCCTGGGATCCACTTCCAAGAAGCCCGGTGGGGCAGGCCAGGTGGGAGACCTCAAGCACAGTGCCCCCAAAGTTCCGGGCCAGGCAGCGGCGGCTCACGGCCCAAGGGTAAGTCACCTCACCACTGGGCACATCCTGGGGGTGGGAGGGGGCGATGCCTTTGACTCTAGAGTCCTGCTGTGCCTTGCTCGAGCTGGGCACCTGCTCACTGCCACTCCTCCACAGCACGGCCATGGCAGCTCCTCAGACTCCAGCAGCAGCAGCAGCTCCAGCAACTCGGACTCCGACAGGGAAGGGAAGGTAAGGGGCTCCCCTCCTCCCGGCCTGCGTCCTGTGCCCCAGGCAAGGTCAGCGTCTCTGCTCCCAGTCCCTGACCATCTCTCTTCTCTCCTGCCTGTTGCCCACAGCCCCATGCCGCCGGCGCCACCCCGGGCAAGGCCAAGAAGCCCAAGGTGAAGAAGGACAAGGACAAGGGCAAGAAGGAGGAGAAGGGCAAGAAGGCGTCCCACTGAGGGGCCCAGGCGGGTTCATTAAACCTTTCTCCAGCCTGTGCAGTGCCGGCCCTGTCCCTCCTGTCGCGTCCATCCCCGGCTCCCTGCCCAGCTGCGCTCACGGCCAAGGAGAGGCTGCCACGCCGTGCCCATCGGGTTTATTGTTTCGGTCACAGCGGCCGGCGGCCTGTGCAGCTGGAGAGCTCAGCACCGGGCGGGGAGGGGACCTGGGGACGGGCGGTGCCTGCCCGGCAGGGCGGACTAGTGGGCGGAGAGACGAGTCCGGCAGCTCGGCGACGCGGAGCGGCAGCGGGGGCGCCTCACCGCACCAGGTGGAAGGTGAGCCAGTACATGAGCAGGGGCTGCGCCGCCGCCACCGCCATGGTCAGGTACATGCGCAGCTGGTTCCGCGCCCCGCGCACTGGGACCCCTTCGGCCGCCGCCTCTGCCAGGATCTTCAGCCGCAGCGTCCGGATCTGGGTGGGAGAGAGGGTGTTTCCCCTCGAGCCCTCTACCTGGAGAACAGTCCCTGCCCCTCTGCAGCCTGGCACCTCAGTTTCCCCAAATCTCCCAACAGACGGTGAGGACTCGCTCCTCCCCAGTCCCTAAGCAAAATCGGAGGCCAGACTCATCAGTGACTGAGGGGGCGGGGCGACTGGGCCCCAGCCACTGTGTCGCGTTGGCGAGGTGACAATTAGTCCAGACTAGCCAGAAATGCTATTGTTTTAAAAAAACTTAAATGACTTCTAAGTCAAAGTGTACCCGAAGGTCAGATTTGACTCACCTGCCCCCACTGTTCCCCTCGCCTCTCACACGTGCTCCCACCGCCTCCCTCCCATGGCCTTGAGCAGCAAGTATTATCGCCTCATTTTACAAAAGGGGAAACTGAGGAAGTGATCTGCTCAGGATCCAGCGAAGCTTGGGGTCAACCCTGGCCTGGCAGACCCCAGTGCTCTCAGCCAGCGCCCCACTCCAGCAGGAAGTACTCTCGGAAAATCTCCTTTCGGGGAGGTTCTGGCAGGAAAGGCCCCATGGGGAGAGGGGAGCCCGAAGCTGGGTGCATGGCCGGCTGCTCCTCCTCTCCCAGGAAGCCCTCCCGACCCCCAGGCTGGGGCAGCTACCCCACGGCCCCTCAGTGCAGCAGTGTGCCTCTGGCCGAAACTCTCCACCTGACGTCCTCGGCCTGGATGCCTCCTGGGACCCCAACCCTGCCCAGGGGCCTGGGCCCTCGGCCTCACCATGAACACAAAGATGGACGCGCAGCACCAGCCCAGCACCAGGTAGTAGCCAATCTTGCCAAAGAGCAGGCCCATGAGGACGCCGCCAATCATCCTGGGGGCAGGGAGAGAAGGCTAGTGTGAGGAAGAGGCCGAGGGCAGGGGCTGGCAGGCAGGGTAGGGCTACTCACCCAACATATTTGTAGCCCAAGAAGGCCACCAGGTCGATGGTGGTGAGGTCGGTGTTGACGGTGACCAGGTAGAGACTGAGCAGGATGGCCAGCACCTCCAGCGTCAGCCAGGCCAAGGCCGAGCTCGCCTGCAGCCCCAGGAGGTCTGGCGAGAACCTGCCGGCACCCAGGCTGTCACTCCCTGAGCGTCCGCCTGGGGACAACCTGTGCTAGGTGGGGCTGGAGACCTGCTGTGGCCAAGGTGGCTCTGGGCCCTATCTTTATATCCCATTCTGGGGAGGTAGGCAGACCTGTCCCCAGACAGCGACGCCCAGAGGGGTCCGGATGGTGGGACAGGAAGGCTTCCCTGGGGAAGTGACACTGGACTGGAAACACGAATGAACAGGTGCTTGGCAGGTGACGCAGGGGAGGGACATACTCCTGAGCAAGACACAGCGGATGTGCACGGGCCCTGGGGAGGCGGCCCTGGGCCCCCTGGAGGGACGGGAGGAGGACCAGGGGAGCAGGGGGAGGGGCAGCGCAGGCTGAGGAGCTGGGCTTGATCGGGGAGCCATGGACTGCATGGGGGCAGGGGTGGGGACATGGCCGGGCCTGCATCTCGTATAGCACCATCCTGGCTGCTGCTCGAGTGGGCGTGTGGGGGATGGGGGCGGCTACTCAGGAGAAAGCGAAGATGAGGATGGATGTGGTGGTGGAGGGATGGAGTCCGAGGGTCGCCCAGCACCGGGCGTGGTGTCAGGCTGCACGTGGGCAGGAAAGAGAGGGAAGGGGCAAGGGTGATGCTGAGGTGACTCTGAGGGTGACCCTGAGGGCTGTCTTGGGCCAACTAGGAGCAAGGTGGGGCTGTTCTGAGAGAGGGAACCGAGACCTCCCCGGCCCCAGACCCCACCCCACTCTGCCTGCCCCAGGCATCCCTTACCTATCCTGGGTCCCCAGCGCAAGGCCAGCCACCAAGATGTAGGTGATGAAAGCCATCGCTGTGGGAGGCAGGCACACAGACACCGGTCAGAGGGGGAAGGACCACCCTGGGCCTCCAGGCACCAAACCCCAGCCCCAGACACGCCCACCCAGAGGGAGGAGGGTGCAGGCAACCTGGAATGTACAGGTCCGGGGCGTTGACATCAAAGCGGGGGGCTACAGGTGTGTCCTGCTGGTACTGCACCTCCCAGTCCTGTGGGGAGAGTGGGGGAGCAAGCAGGACCCGGGAGCTGGACCCCTCCGCCCCGCTTATAGGCCCAACCCCCAACAGGCTGGCTCGCCAGAGGCCAAGACCCGTGTCCCCTAGGGCAACGCTGACCTGGTGCAGGTAGGGGAAGAAGAGCAGCCCCAGCTTCTTGCCCACGTACATGGTGTCCACGGCGAAGTAATACTTGAGCTTGGTGACAGGGATGAAGCGGTCGATCTGCAGAGGCAGAGCTCAAGCCTGAGGCCCCTGCCCCGCGCCGCCCCGCTCCCGCCAGCCCGGCCCACTCACGTTCTTATCCACCAGCTCCTTGCCCTGCGCGGCCAGGCTGCTCCCGTAGGCCATGGCCATGTTGGACACAGGGTCCGCCAGGAAGGCGGCCTGGGGCGAGGCGGAGGCTGAGGGGTAGCCCAGGCTGCCAGGTGCCCGCTGCGCCCCATAGCCCCGGCTCTGGGCTGAACTTGTGTCGTCGAAAAGCTGGTGGGGGTCGGCCATGCCTGGCTGGGACACAGGGATCCTCCGCTTTGAGGCTGCAAGGGAAGAGGGGTGCAGAGCCTCATTCATCCTGCAGCTCTCCCGGGGTCACCGTTAGAGACGCTGGTTCTGATGTCAGATGGGCTGTCGGGTGCAGGCCCATCCATCCGTCTGTCCATCCGTCTATCCAGATACCGATGATGATGATGATGATGATGTTGAGAGCTTCTATGTACTAATAGGTATTGGGGCCTACTGTTCCCCAAATCCTGTGCCAAGCCTTCTACAAACCAGGCCTATGTCCGTATCTCTCCCCCACCCCCACTCATCTGCTTCCTTCTCTGGGCCTCTGCTCAGAAAGCTCCCCGCCCCCACCCTCCAGGTCTTTGCTCAGTGGGGCCTTCCGCGACCATCCGGTTGTCCACAACCGCACCTCTCTCCCCATCCCCCTTCCCTGAGTCACTGACAGCCACCAGCTCGGCAGCAGCTGAATCACTATCTGTTTTATTTATTTGTTCGCTGTCTCCCCTACTCGACTGTGAACCCCACTAAGGTGGGGAGCTGTGTCTTGTTCACAGCCAAATCCCCAACTCTAGAACAGGGCAAGAGCAGGCACTTGGTAAAAATCTGATGCATGAACAGCCAGCCACCCCCATTTCATGGATGTGGAAACTGAGGTCCAGACAGCCAAATGACTTGTGCAAAGGGCCAAACTGAGTGAGTCCTGCCCAGGTGTGTTTGACAGATATGACAATAATTAAACCCTTGCTGACCACTTACTGCATGCCAGGCTGTGTTTTAAAAACTGTGGATTAACTTGTTTAATCCTCGTAACAACCCATTTCAGCCAATGCTATTATCATCCCCCTGATAAAGTGAGCCCGCAAGTAGGCCCTTGCCCAAAGTCATGCACGCAGTATGCGGCAGAGCCAGGTTTTGGAGGTTTCTAAAAGGCTTCATGTGGGGAACGGAGGGCCAGGCGTGGTGGCTCAGGCCTGTGATCTCTGGGAGGCCGAGGCGGGAGGATCGCTTGAGCTTAGGAGTTCGAGACCAGCCTGAGCAAGAGTGAGGCTGGTCCTTCTGGCCAGAAGTGGGAGAAGGAAAAGGGACGTTGGACATGAGGACAAGGCTGGGGCCAGTGCTGCTTGCTTTGGGATTCAAGCTACAAATCACTGAGAGGAAGAGCTGAGGGCCAGTAATTGATGATAGGTAAGAAGCCACTTGTCTCCTGGCTTCAGACCCAGGTCTGGCTGTCCCTGGACCCTTACCTCGGTGTCCCCTGAATCCTCTTCTGCCTGACATCCAATCAACGAATCGCTAGTTCTCACCCACTGTATCTCAACATCACCCTCTCCTCTCAGACTTTGTCATCTCGCACCTGCCTTAAATGTCCTACCTGGTCCCTCTGTCCATTCTTAGCCCCACCAACCTTCCCTCCAGTGGGCAACCAGAGTGGTCTTTTTAAATGCAAACAAGACTACATCATCCTCTGCCTAATATCAGTGCCCACTGAGCTCAGAATAAACCCAAATACCTACTGGGCCCTGCATGACCCAGCCCTGTCAATCAGCCCCAATTGCTACCTCTCCTGGGGCTCCCATGTCCCAGCTACACGCCCTCCTGGTGGGCCCTGCCCCTGCCCAGCTTACTGCCCCCCACAGCCTTTGGAATATGCACTGCGGTCACCTGGGACCGCCTTCCCTCCATCAGCACCTGCCGGTATCGCGCTCAGGCCTCAGCTCAAATGTCTCCTTCTCAGAGAGACCTCTCACTGCTCAACACGGAGCACTTGCTTCTCCTGGCTCCTTCTCATAACATCCAGTGATTGATTTTGTTTTCTCTTCTGAGCACTCAGCACAATTTCTAAATACATATTCATTTGTCTACTGGTCTGCCCTGGCACAGACCTCCAATGCCTTTCCCTCTTACCACAAATCTCCTGGGTGGTTCCTCCTCATTAGAAGTACCCTCTTCTAAGAGGTGTCACTGGCATCCCCAGGCTGGGTCACATGCCTCCCGTGGGCTCCCACAGCACCTCCACCCCAGCGCTGGCCACTCTGCCTTATGCTTCGCTCATCCCGGCAGTAGAGCTCTGCCTGTGTCCTCATCCTACCCCGACCCCTCTGCCTGTACTTGTCACAGCTCCATCACTCTAGACTGTCGCCGCCTTCTGCTCTGTACTGGCAGCCCCATGAGGACAGGAGCAAGGGCTGTCTGGGCACTGCCGTATACCCTGCATCACCCACCACGGGGCCAGCCAGGCACCCGACTAGCAACGGCTGAAGGGAGGAACAGAGAGGCAGCCTCAACCAACGCCCAGTCACACCCGGGATTATTCCCTCTACAGTCGTCACTGCTCCCCAAATTATCTTGTTGACTTGGCTGCTTCCTAGTTAAGTGTCTCTTTTCCCTTTGTGAGCTGTGATAGTACAAAGACTATGCTGGTTTCTACTATACTGGCTGTCCACATTCCAGCACAGGGCCTGGCACAAGCGGGGTTGGGGCAAGTTAAGTTGACTGAATAAATGAAATGCATAGCACACTTACGGAGATGAAGAATTTAAAGAGTGATACCAATTCAGAGACAGGAAAAGGGGGTTAACAGGACAATACAATGAGGCGTAAACATGGCCCTGTCCGCTCACGGAGGGCCGGAAAGGCAGTGCTAAGGAGCGTGGCCTACCGCCCGAGGGCACTGGGGAGCCACGGGAGGGTGGGGAGCAGGGCAGGGCGGACCGCTTACTGCAAATGAATGAAAGTCGCCTTTCAGTTCTCATCACACAATACCCCGCCCCAAGCTGTTTTCCCCTAAAGGAATGTCCTGAAGACTCTACCCCCAACGCACCCCTACCCGGACCTGGCATCCCCGCACCGTGCACACCTCGAAGCTCCAGATCCTTGATCTAGTGACCTCCGACCTACAGTGACCTCGCCAACCGCCGCCGGCCCGCCCCGCCACGCTTCCCCCCCGCCCGACCTCCGCCGCCGGCCACGTACGCCACTTACGCAGCCGGGGCGTCCCAGCCGCCGCCGCCGCCAAACCTGCCGGGTGCATCCTTCGCCGCAGCCACCACCTCAGCAGCGGTTCGTAACGTGCCCGCCCGGCTCCCGTAGCCACGCCCCTCCGGCCGCGCGACAGCCAATGGGCGTCACGACTGCGCGGAAGCCACGCCTTCCCACGGAAGCCAGGGCGAGTGGGCGGTGCCTTACGTAGGAGGCGGGGCCTGGGGGGCGTCTCGTCGTAAGGCCGGAGTCAGCAGCCCGAGGGGCAGGAGGGCGGGGCCGGGACGGTCTGAGAGTAGGCGGAGTAGGGCTAGGTGTCGAGCGCAGAGGCCGACGGGAAATGGAGTTCTCTACGGACAAGCGCTGAATTTGCGCCGCTGAGAGCCCCGGGGAGCCAGAGAGGGGCGTGGAGCAGGGGAGGAGAGATTCATTTTGTGTTCCCCAGGGCCTCGTCGGAGTTGCGCGCGCTCTGACGCTTATACGATTTTGACAGTCCTTAGGTATTAAGGTGAATATTTTTCTCTTTTTTTTTCCTTTCTTGACTAGGCTGCACGTTTACATTAAGGTGAACGTTTAGAATGAGAAAAGGACACCCAACAGGTTGGGTGAGAAGAACCAGGTATCCCTCTTCCAAGATATCTTTAGACGGTTTCCCAGAAATTCACAGAAATGTTCTCCTGTTGCAACCTGCTTTGCTCTGTCCACCGAGAACACTCCAGAACCCCCAGCAACTCACAGCATGCAGGTGCACCTGCCAGGGACGAGCCCCTGACAACTAGCCTTCCTCCCTCTCTCCTCTCTGCCCCTCTGGCTCCTCCACTTATCTCAGACAAAGAAGGTGGTGGAAGTGACTTCTGGGCAGTGATAAAACTCCAGGAAGGATGTTAGCAAGTTACCTTATCATTGTGGCTTCCATTTCCTCCTCTGAGACACCGTCTTTTCTGGGGACCTTGAGGGCTGCTCCTGGTTTCTCAGGATGAGTGCTGGCTCAGTGGCAGTTGTTTTTTGAGTGAGGTGCCCTCATTTCTCCTCATCCTTAATCCCCCCTCTTGCTTCCAGATGCATCTCTTCTGTGAATATACTTTTTTATCAATAAAGCAAGTATATTGGCTTCCTGCTGGCCTCACGTTTTCCTCTTACCAGTTGTGCGACTGCTCCATATTTTTGTTGTTGTTGAGAGACGGGGTCTCACTCTGTTGCCCAGGCTGGAGTGCAGTGTCCCAATCATAGCTCACTGTAACCACAAACTCCTGGCTTGAAGCGATCCTCCTGTCTCAGCCTCCCAAGGCACTGGGATCATATGCATGAGCCTCTGCGCCCAGGTCTACCCCATTTTTAAGCCCACATTTTCTTATCTGTTTAATGAGAATTATGTGAGAGGGACTGAGGAGTCATATAAGTTCTTGTGTCTACAGAGCCTGACATATTGCAATCATTTGGTACCTACTGTGACTGTTTTTATCATCGGGTGTCTTTTCCTGTGGATTATCAAGCCCAAGTTGGGCTCTGCTCCAAGATCTGCCAGTTTTATAAATAGAATCCACTGGGGTGTGTCTAAGTTGGGACCAAGCCCCAGTCCTCTGCCAATCAGAGAAGATTCCAGGCTGCCCTCCAGAAGGCTGCTAGGAGTTCCAGCTGGAGACAGATGTGGAGGGACGTGGAAGGAAATTTTCTCTCTTAAATAGAGGCATATATTCACGATTCTGCCAGGAAAAAAGACCCTGGCTCACTCCTTTTCATCTTTCGTGTTTCGTCTCAGATAGCTCCTTCCTCAGGGAGCTCTGCTGACTTCCCTAAGCTGGGTTAGTCGCCTCCTCTGCTCTCTCATGGCCCTGTAGGCTTCCCCATGCCAGCCTTGGCCACTCTGCCTGTGCTCCCCTCGTCACAGCCCTGACCCCACAGGCTGTCACTCTACTGATGTGCCAGTCTCCCCTATTAGACTGGGAGGCTCATGAGGGCGTAGGCCCAGAATTGTCTTGGTCACTACCGTGTCCCCAGCATTACCCAGCAAGGGGCTGGGCACAAAATGGGTGCTGAGCAAAGATTCGGTGAGTAGCTAAGGAGCCACACTCTGCCCATGAGGGCACGGGGACGCTTGACTCTGTGGTGCCCGCCATTCCCACTCCAGGGCACACGACTGGGCGACTGGAGGAAGAACCGGATGTCGGTTTGCCCCTCGCCCCTCCGCCATGCACGACGGCCCTGAGGATTTGGGGAGCGACGCCTGCATCTGCGAGGGGAAAGAGTTGGGATTCGCTCTGAGCTAAGGAACCAGGACTCCAAGGGAAGAGAAGGAAGGAATGGAAGGAAGAGAATATATCCTCCACCCTTGCCATCCTGTTGGTCTCCTGGGTCCGGGAGCGCTGGGCTCCGCCCTCTCCGCGCTAACACCTGGCGGTTGGGCGTGCCTCAGTTTCCCGGGGGCGGGGCGTTCCTCTATCCCCGCTCCTCCCCTTGTTTCTCTTCCTCTTTGGGGCACCCGTGGCCGCGCCTCGAGCACTCCCGGAACTGAATCTAGGTGCCAGACCGTCCGGAGGCGGGGGCCACGTCAGCGGGGCCTCCCCGGGCTGCGCGGGGTCCGGCGGGCGCCATGCGACGGGGCGCGCTCCTGGCGGGCGCCCTGGTCGCTTACGCCGCGTACCTGGTGCTGGGCGCGCTGCTGGTGGCGCGGCTGGAGGGGCCGCAGGAAGCCAAGCTCCGGGCCGAGCTGGGGACGCTGCGGGAGCAGCTGCTGCGGCGCAGCCCGTGTGTGGCGCCCCCCGCCCTGGACGCCTTCGTGGAGCGGGTGCTGGCGGCCGGGCGGCTGGGGCGCGTAGTGCTCGCCAACGCCTCGGGGTCCGCCAACGCCTCGGACCCCGCCTGGGACTTCGCGTCGGCTCTCTTCTTCGCCAGCACGCTGGTCACCACCGTGGGTACGTGAGCGCCGTCCCCGCTCCCCAAGCCGGCGAAGAGTCGGGACCCCCGCTGCGTCCGCGCCCGCTGGACACTCGGGGTCCCTCACGAAATACCCGTATCCCAACCCCCTCTGGGCCTGGGTTCCCCTCAAACCTCCCCAGCGGGGACCTGGGACCCACAATCATGGTATCCGACCCCCTTGGGGAACCCTGGTCGGAGTCCTTCCTCCTAAACAGGAGACACCCCCAGTTCCCTTGGGACTAGGGTCCCCCTTCGAGTATCTGGAACCCCGCTCCTCAGTCCCCGTGGGGACCCAGATCGCTCGGTCCCCTCTAGGCCTAGGACTGTCCTCACAGACCTCCTGCAAGGACCCTGCGCTTGAGATCCTTGTTCCCTCTGGACCCGGGACCTCTGCCTTATCCCTGGGCTGGACTGCCATTCTTTCCAGCAAGTTCTCCCGACTCTGCAGACAGGCCCTTCCAGGTTCCCCCTTGGGAACCCCCTCCCCCCAGCCTCCTCCTGACCCGGGCACACAACGGAGGACCCCGAACCTCCAGACCCCTCAGGGCACCGTCTCTCACGACCTTCCTCCCAGTACAGATTCCTCCGCAAGGACCTGGAGCCCCCATCCCAGACTCCCACCCCCCTGGACCTAGAACATTCTCAGCGAGGGGCCCTGCCCTTCTCCACAGCAAAGACCACCCCGTCCCTCGCTGGCCCTGTACTCCTGGGCAGGTAACCCTGATTCCAGACACAAGGCTCCTCCCTACGTGCCCCACCCTATCTTGACATCTCTCTCCCCCGTATTGGGGAGCCACCAAGGCAGGGTTTTCCTGCCAACAGGGACACCCGGTTCTCTCTGGACCTGGGACTCCCAAACCCGGAGCCCCAGCTGTGGACGTGTGGAAAGAGCTCGCCCTGGGGGAGCCAGAACACCCTGGGAAATCCCTTTTGTTGCCGGGCTCTGCCGGCTCCTCGGCCCCCAGACTTCCTCTTTGTCTCTTTGTTTGGGATTTGGAGCCAGTGGAAGGCTGGGGCAGGGCTAGTCCGGGCTCCTAATCCCCGCTCAGTGGGAGGCCGCTTTTGCCTTTGGAATCCCATTGTGTGGATCAGCAAACCGAGGTCCCAGGCAGCTGAGCTGCTGGACTTGTCACTGGCCCCGGAATTGGCCGACCTCCCCTGGGGCTTACTCTTCCCCATGCTGCCAGGGCTGCCCGACCTGCTTCTGGGCTTCCCCGGGTCACATGAGCGCGTCCTCCTGTCTCCACCCAGATCCTGGCTTCTGAGAAGTCATTCCTGGCACAGCAGGTGGCATCTCTAGGCCTCAGTGTCCCCTCTCACCTGTAAAGTGGGGACAGTAACACTCCTCACTCCACAGTAGCAGTAGTGGCCTGAGCGAGCACTTCCCACGTGCTGTAACTCGCTCAACCGGGACAGCAGCCGTGCCAGGCAGGTGCCATTATCTGTCCTGTTTTTCCCACCTTGCAAACTGAGGCCCAGAAAATTTGGACAACTTGCCCAGGGTCGCACGGCTAGCAAAGAGCAGAGGGGGAGACTTGAACCAAAGCCAGCGGGCTTTTCGCCCACACAGCACGCTACTTGGCAGGAAAAAGGGTGATGTGTGCACCGCGAAAGAAAAAATTGTCCTGACACTTGTTGAAAATGGAAAGTTATTGCAATAGAGGAGAGACTCTTCAAAGGCAGAGAGACTGAACTTAACTCTGGATCTCAGAAAGGCAGCTGGAGATTTATAGCTGACGGGCAGAGTGAGTGGGTCAGGCCGTGGAAAATTAAGAGGAGGAAAGACATCAGGGTAGGGGGATTCCTGCTAAACTTGGCTTCACAATACTCTTGCTAAAGACAGGCCAGGGACTTAGCTAGCCAGAGTGGAGGGTGAGAATTCGGATGTCAAGGGTAGGAGATTCTTAGAATTCTTGCTAAAATTGAGCCAGATTCAGAGGAGCCAGACTAAAGTTTGGTCAAGGAAGGAATCTTTGAAGTGCTAATAATAAGTGATTTTTTTTTTTTTTTTTTTTTTTTTTTTTGGAAACAGGGTCTTGCTCTGTCACCCAGGCTGGAGTACAGTGGCATGATCAGAGCTCACTGTAACCTCCAACTCTTCAAGCGATCCTCTTGGCCCAGCCTCCTGAGTAGCTGGGTCTACCGCCCACACCACCATGCTGGGCTAAGTTTTAAATTTTTTTGTAGAGACAGAGTCTCATTATGTTGCCTAGACTAGCCTCAAACTCTTGGCCTCAAGCGATCCTCCTGCCTCAGCCTCCCAAAGTGCTGGGATTACTGGTGTGAGCACCTTACTCGGCCATATTTATTGCGCCTCAGCTATTATTATCATTGTGGGTGGAGCCAGGAGCCCTGAGAAATGGAAAGCCAACTAAATGTCATTCAGAGAGACCTCTTCCCACAGTGTCCCTCGTTTTGCCCAAGACACCCAAGTCTTGGCCCTGGAATTGGTGCAGGGAGCCTTGCTGCAATTGAGGCAGGAGGGGAAGATAGTCCTACCTGGAACTGGGTCTCGGCTGGTGGGGAAGGGAACAGTACAGTCACTGAAACTCTTTCCATGCTCTTGCTAGGGGCTGTTCCCTGTCCCAACATGGTAGGATTACTACCACATTTGAGGAAAGGGTTATTTGTGAGCCCATTTTTGCAGAGTAGAAAACCGAGGCTCAGAGAGGAGCAGTTACCTGGCCAAAGTCTTTTGGATTCGGCTCTTTGAGGTACTAAATTGAGGCTCACAGGCCCTATTCTGTTCTAACTCTGTGATTTTTCTATTTATAAGGATTTCGTGTCATTTGCAAACCTGTCACTTCAGCCAGGCTGCTGGAGTTTTTCCATTAAAACTCTTGTATTAGTGAAGGTTGGAATCATAAGTGATACACCTCAAATTACAGTTGCTTAAATAAGATGGAAATTTATTTCTTGCTCGAATCCAAGGTAGTCATTCCAAGACTGAAATGGTGCTACATGGTCAGAGACCCAGGCTCTTGCTTGGTAAAAACCTCCTGTTCCTCCATAACTTCTCTGTGCAGTTTCCATTCCCAAGGTCACATAATGGCCCAAGATGGCTGCTCAATTCCAGCCTTTACATCTGTGTTCCAGCCAGCTGGAGAAGGGAGGAAGGAAGAAAGATGAGCGTCCTCCTCTTTTTAAGGACCCCTCCTGGAAGTCATTTGATTCTTTCATGTATATCTCACTGGCCAAAGATTAGTCACAGAGTCACACCTAGCTGCAAGGGAGGAGGGGATGTCCTTATTCCAGGTGGCCATATGTCAGAGTTTCCTTCCTTTTTAAGGTTGAATAATATCCCATTGTATGCATGTACCACATTTTGCTTATCCATTAATCTGCAGACGGAAATTTGGGTTGCTTCCACACACTAGCTTTCTGCGAATAATGCTGCTACGAACATGGTGTACAGGTATCTCTTCGAGAGCCTGGTTTGGATTCTTTTGCGTATGTGAAAACCAGGGGATCCTTTTTTTATGGAAAACAGGTGCACAGGCACAGGTGCATGCCTGCTCCCGTATGCAACGTGTCCACACCTTACTATAGACGACAGGGCTGGCTCTGCAGTCTTTTGGGCAAAACATTTAATTGTCAACATAAACCAGTCCCCCCACTACCCTGGTCACAGCTCTGACCCTTTGGTTTGATTTCTTAAGGAAATAAAAAGAGATTTTTAAATTGCACTTTGCCAAAGTGAATCAGTCCCGCCAGGCCCTGAATTCCCCTTGATCATATTTCTGTTGGCAGAGCTCATGTCCACGCTGAACTTACTGTGATCCCGGGGTCCCCTGGGAGCCCAGCGGGGCTTGTCACACCCATTTTAGAGCAAACAGAGGTTCAGAGTCAGGTGACAGCCTGCGCCCTTCATTCATTCATTCTTTCTTTTTTTTAAATTTATTTATATATTTTATTCTTTTGTCGTTGTTGTTGTTTGCCCAGAATGTCCATGCTAGTGAGGTTGATCATTCATTATTTCAACAAGTATTGACCCAGTGCTCACAGGATCAATGCCCATAGCAATGACAAAATAGAGTCCCCAGCTTTCCTGGAACTGACACCAGGAGAAGGGGTGGAGCAGTAACAACTAAGCAAGCCATATGGTACCCCGGAAGGTGTTAAGAGCTATGGGAAAAAAGACTTGGGCGAGAGAGTGTTACAATTTCAAACAAGGTGGTCAGGGAAGCCTCCCTGAGAAGGTGACATTGGGGCAAAGACCTGCAGGAGAGGAGAGAGGGGAGCACGTGGATACCAGAGGGAAGAACGTTCTGCAGGGAAAGAGCAGCCCGTGCAAAGGCCCTGGGGTGGGCGCCGCGGGGCGGGTGGAGAGGCAGCCAGTGGGCTCTGGATCCATTGGAGGTTGAGTGGCGAGGGGTCACGAGTGAGGAGGGGTCGAGGACGAAAGCAAGGCTCTTAGGCTGAGCGGCGGGAGGGTGGCGGTGCCATTACCTGGGACAGGAGAGGGCGTGGAAGGGGTGGGGTTGGGGATGCGGGCGGGTCTCGCTTTGGGGGACCCGCGCGTCCCCAGGGGCGGTGGCGAGCGTCTCCCCTGCGCTCCGCAGGCTACGGGTATACGACGCCGCTGACGGACGCGGGCAAGGCCTTCTCCATCGCCTTCGCGCTGCTGGGCGTGCCGACCACCATGCTGCTGCTGACCGCCTCGGCCCAGCGCCTGTCGCTGCTGCTCGCCCAGGCGCCCCTGTCCTGGCTGCGCGCGCGCTGGGGCTGGGCCCCCCGGCGGGCGGCCCGCTGGCACCTGCTGGCCCTGCTGGGCGCCACGGTGACCGTCTGCTTCCTGGTGCCCGCCGCGATCTTCGCCCACCTCGAGGAGGCCTGGAGCTTCCTGGACGCTTTCTACTTCTGCTTCGTCTCGCTGTCCACCATCGGCCTGGGCGACTACGTGCCCGGGGAGGCCCCCGGCCAGCCCCACCGGGCCCTCTACAAGGTGCTGGTCACAGGTGAGCTGGGGGCGGGACGGGAGGAGCCCAGGGCCCCGTCCCAGCCACACCTGGGGGTGGGGGGCGGGTTCCAAGTGGGGTCCTGCCCTGGGGACCTGAGCCCCGCGAGGACTCGTGGTCCCTCCGCCGTCTATGCAGTCTACCTCTTCCTGGGCCTGGTGGCCATGGTGCTGCTGCTGCAGACCTTCCGCCACGTGTCCGACCTGCACGGCCTCACGGAGCTCATCCTGCTGCCCGCTCCCTGCCCCGCCACGCTCACCCAGGACGAGGACGATCGGGTGGACATTCTGGGTCCCCAGCCAGAGTCGCGCCAGCAGCTGTCTGCCGGCTCCCACGCCGACTACGCCTCCATCCCCAGGTAGCTGGGGCAGGTGCTGTGAGGCCGCGAGCACCTGGCCTGGGACCGAGGCCCACGTGACTGGAGCTGACCCCGCAGGGACGTCCAGGTGCACAGGCAGGTGTTCCTGAGGCGCGGCCACCAGCCCTCCGTCCTCTGTTTTACGGCCCGGCTGGGGTGCAGGCCGGCACTCCCTGTGTCTGTGTCCCCGGCCGCACCGGGCACCAACGTCACCTCGTCCTCCTCCTTCCCTTTCATTTTCCGTCACACTCTCTCGCGCCTTCTCTGTCTTTCCCTCGCGCTGTCCCCATTTCCCATTCTCTCACACGTTCCATCCGTCTCTCTCTCTCAGCCACGGTCACTGGCCGATTCCACCAGGCTCTGGGCTCGGAGCTCATTTCAGGCACCAGACCAGTCGCCATGTCTCGGACAAGTGACGTCCCCTCCCCGAGCCTCGATTTCCTCTGCTGTCACACAGAAAGAATGTACTCACTCATGCCCCAATCCCTGCTTTTGCTGGCCCCGTGCGAGACAGCGCTAGGGACATGACGGTGATGGAGATGGCCCGGGGCCCCCTCCCATGGGGCCACAGTCCAGTGAGGTAGACAGACCCGTCCCCAGACAGGGACAGCCCCAAATGAGCAGGACTTCAAATTGGGAGGCAGAGCGATCACAGGTGTGACGGAGGAAACACCGGCAGAGTGGTCAGGGCCGAGGCGGGGGAAGCACGAGGAATGTGCCCAGTCCCGCCTGGAAGGTCAGGGAGGGCTTCCTGGGGGAAGGGACACCTGAACTACGATCTGAAATCTGAAGAGCAGTCAGGGCAAGAAGCTGTACCTGACTCGTCTTTCTCGAGTGTCTCTAGAGAGCAGGACCTGGTCAAGGAGCCCTGGGGGTGGGCCCGGGTGATAGAATCTTCCTGAACAGCGTGGCGGCAGGAAACTGACACAGGATGCCAGCCCGGATCCGAGTGGCCTGGGAGGCGCCGCTCTTAGCCCAACACTGTTGTAACGGGCGTCCCCTCTTACTGGGCACTAACTGCACGTCTGCTCGGGGCTCCCGAGCCAGCCTGCCTGCGTCCTTGGGCTCCAATCCCAGCTCAGCCCTTGGGCGGTCACTCCACCTCTCTGGTTCCTTTCCTCCTCTGTAAAGTGGCGATCGTGACAGTACTACTTCCAAAGACGATTCACAGAGCCTGCCGTGTTGTTCCGTGGTGCTTCCTGTGGCCAAGCCCTGTTCTGGGTAGTTTACACGAGGGAGAGGCTATTAATCATCCCCTTTCCACAGATGGAGAAACTGAGGCACAGAGAAGAGAGGTCCCTTGTCTTAGCCACAGAGCGAGGAGTGAATGACTTTCTGTTTGATCCCCCAAGCTGGGGCATGGGTGTGAGCCTCACCGCCCAGGCTGAGCTCCTGGCCACCGCGCCCTGTGGGGGTTACACGGGGACCGGGCATTTGCGCCGGACAAGTGGCAGAGGTGTGGGGAGGGCGTGCCAGGCAGAAGGAACTGCGTGCAAGGCTGGGAGGTGGGACAGCGTGGTGGACGTCAGCCTGGGGCAGGCAGTTTACTGTGACGGGAGTGTGGAGGGGTGGACAAGGGCACATCTCGGTGTCCTTAATTGACAAGCTTAGGAACCTGGCCTCTTTCTTGAGGGCACTAAAGAGCCATGGAAGGGACCAGGCGCGGTGGCTCATGCCTGTAATCCTAGCACTCTGGGAGGCCAAGGCGGGCAGATCGCTCAAGGACAGGAGTTCGAAACCAGCCTGAGCAAGAACGAGACCCCGTCTCTACTATAAATAGAAAGAAATTAATTGGCCAACTAATATACATAGAATAAATTGGCCGGGCATGGTGGCACATGCCTGTAGTCCCAGCTACTCGGGAGGCTGAGGCAGGAGGATGGCTTGAGCCCAGGAGTTTGAGGTTGCTGTGAGCTAGGCTGACGCCACGGCACTCACTCTAGCCTGGGCAACAGAGTGAGACTCTGTCTCAAAAAAAGAAGCTACATAAGGGTTTGAAGAGAGGGTCACAGTCAGGTTCGACCCCCCACTTGCCGAGTGGAGGTGGACCAGAGGGGGAGGCCATGGGAGGGGGAGGGGTGGGAGCAAGGATTCGTAGGAGCCAAGTGGACAGGCCATAGGCCCTGAGACTCGGGAGGGACGAGGAATGGTCAGTTGTCCCTGAAATGGGGACCTGGGAGGAAGAGCAGTTCTGAGGGGATACCTAAAGCTAGCTTAGAATATGGTGTGAGGGGCTAAAAGGACACCCAGGGGGAGGCATGGAGACTTCATGGACCCCCCTGGGCCCCAAGGCTAGAGATGGGGATGAAAGAACTGTGGCTACGGTGGGTGTGGCAGCCCTGGGAGGGAGTGACCAGAGACCAGCCGTGAGTCATGAGCCCGTGAGAATTTATGTTTATATTATATCAGGAGAGATTTTGGCTGCAGGTAATAAAATCATGACTGGCCCAGGCAGAAACAATAAGATTATTGTTACATTCTAGGTCACCAGAGTAAGGGAGCACTCTGGGAGTGAAACTATCCACAGTTATGGGGAGGGCTTGTGACCCCAGGTTCCCTCTGTCTGTGTTCTGCCACCCTTGGCTCCTGTGTAAGCTCCCCTCATAGTCCCAAAGTGGCTGCCATGGGTCCAGGCATCACAACTAGACATGATAATCTCTAGTGTAAGCAGTGACACTTCAACCAATGTCCTGACACCTGAGAAAAGGGCTTACAAAGGAGGCAGAAAAGGAGTAGTAGAGGAGTAGGAAAACCAGGAGGGTAAGAGTTTTTTTGGAGAGAATTTTATGGAGGGAGAACTCAACATTGTCAAATCATGCTAAAATGTCACACGAGATTTTTTTTAAAGGCAGATCAAACAAGATTATTTTAATAACCATGATGGAAAATACTTACATTGGATTTACTATGTGTCAGGCACCGTTCCAAGCCCTTGGATACATCCTGCACATTTTATAGACGCAGAAAGGAGATCCAGATATATTAAATACCTTGCCCAAGGTCTCACAGAAAGTGTAAAATTGGGATTTGAACAAGGTTTTGGTTGGCCACCTTTTCTCATAGGAGCCCACAAATATTTGCTGTCTAGCAGCCTTCTCTACCACGGTCACTGTCAACCTGAAGTCCGCGTGGGGTGGGGAGGCCGTCCCTTCCTCCCCCCACTCCCCAGGTATTTGTCGTCTTCCGTCCCTCCTTGCTTCTCCTTCCAAATTCCTCTAGAAATAGAAACCGGGTCCTTTTTGGTTCAAGACATTAAGAAAAAAAAGTGCAGGCTAAAAAACTCAACAGGTACAAAAGAGTGTACAGTCATTGGAAAGTAAATCTTTCTCCCACACGCGGACTGTGTTGACGGATGTCTCAGGCCCCCTCGAAGGCATATTTCTATTCTATGTGTGTAGCAGCAACGCGCACGTGTGTGTGATTTATTTTTCACTCTGCACAAGTGGCACCTAGTGGGGTGAGGTGGCTATGATGGCAGACTGTGGAGGCAAAGTCCCTGGGTATAAATCTGAACCGTGTCCCTCCCCAGCTGTGTGGCTTTGGGCAAGTGATTGCAACCTCCTTGGGCCTCAGTTTGTTCATCTGTAAAATGGGATGAGAGATGGTAACAACACCTACCTCATAGACTCGTTTGAGAAGTAAGCACCTTAAGACCTGCACAGCCTTTAAAACAGTGTCTGGCACTTAATAAAATACTGGCCAGTTATGACTCTCATTTCTGCACCTTGTTTGTTTCACCAACGCCATGTGAGTCAGAGATCGTTCCAGAGACACACAAGTAGGTCTCATATCTGCTTGTATACCTGCAGTGCCTCATCTAGAACACGTCCCATAAATCACCCCACATCCCCTGTTCATGGATACGGGGGTGTTTCCCAGTCTTTTGCTGGTAAAGCAGTGCCGCAGTGCACACTGGGTACTTCAAGGTCTAACAAAGGCACCTCCCCCTGGTGGGGCTGCATTCCTGAGCTGGGGGAGACCCCAGTTGCTGTCTGGTGAGTCTGCAAGGGCTCAGGCACACAGCTGCTAAGTTTCTTGCTCCGGTGAAGTCACCCTTCCCTGGCCTTCGGGGTGGGCTTGGCTGGGAAGGAGAACACCTGTTTTGTACTGGACAGGGCTGGAGAGAGAAGTGTCAGAGGTGTCAGAGAAAGACCTGGGCCGCCCTGCCCTCATGGAGTGGGTGATCCAGTGGGAAAGAAAGACCCACTCCCAGCCAGTCGTGTGGCTTAGAGTGGTCAAAGGGTAGGACAGGAGCTGGTCACGCATCACAGACAAGACATGAAGGAAAGAAAATAGTCGGCCCAGTGACAAAGTAGGGGTGCACGGCGTGCACAGGTCTGTGGAAGAGACCATGTCTGGTCGAGGATGTTAAATCACTCTGCGTAACTAGGCTGTGCACTACAGAGGCCTATGGGGGAGGAGGGGAAGAAGAAGAGTGGGATAGAAGGACAGGGATGAGATGATGCAGGGCTCTGGAAAACAAGTGATGGAGTTTGGATGTTTTTCTGAGGTCCTGGGGAGTCATGGAAGGTTTTAGAGCACTCTCAAGGTTTGGTACCCAGACCATCAGTGTCAGCATCCCCTGGAAACTGGGGCTAGGCTAGAAATTCTCTGGCCCCACCCCAGATCTACGGAATTTAAACTCTGGGGGTGGAGCCCATCAACCTGGCTTAACTAGCTAGCCCTTTAGGGGAGTCTAATGCAAGCTCAAGTTTGAAAACCACTGGGTTACAAGTCAGCTTTGCAGTTCATCAAAAAGTCATGGACTGGGCCGGGCGCGGTGGCTCACGCCTGTAATCCCAGCACTCTGGGAGGCTGAGGCGGGAGGATCGCTTGAGTCAGGAGTTCAAGACCAGCCTGAGCGTGAGCGAGCCTCTGTGTCTATTTTAAAGAAAAAAATATATATATATATATTTAAAAAAAAAAAAAGTAATGGACTGACCAGCCTGGGCGATAAAGGAAGACCCTATCTCCAAATAAAATCAAAGCAAAGCACAACAAAAAGTCATGTTCTGAGTCCTTAACTGTCAGGCTCCAGAATGAACAATGTTTACTCGCGGCAGACACTGCTTCTATTAATATCTCCGCGTGATGCCCCCACCTCCCACAGCTGTGTAAGATGGCTGCCCTCGCCCGCGTTTTGCCGACGACCCTGTTAAGCGCGGCAGATTTATTCATTCCCACAGGGTCTCTAGGACACCAAACTTTTTTTTTTAGATGAATTTTGGGGCAGAAGGACAAGTAGGGACGGTGTGGACTGCCGGGCCAACCAACAGGAGCTCCTCCAAGGCCTTCCTCGGGCCAACCTTGGGCTCGGCACCCTCTGCCGGCCACCGCCAGGCCCCGGCGCCCGGGGCTGGAATTTGAGGCCCCGCCCCCTCCTCGCCAGCAAGCCCCGGGCGCCGGCGCGTTACCATGGCGACGGGCGCGCGTCGCGGACACGCCTCCTCAAAGGCGGAAGTCGTTGTGGAAGTGCAGGCGGCCATTTTGGGACCGGGCAAGAGGGGCGGGACTGGCGAGACCAAGCGACGGTTGACCGGTTTTAACCAAGCGACTGGTACCGCGGGGCGGGGAGAGGGCGGTGCCATCGGGGGGCGGGGGAAATGGCGGGGACGGGGAGGGGTTAGGACGGGGCGGGGAGGGGCGGGGGGAGGCGGGGAGGGGAAAAGCAAGGGAAAGACCTGAGTGAGAGCCGTGGGGCCGGGCACAGCGGGAAAGGGGAAGACCGGCGCGGGGAAGAGGGGGCAGGGCGAAGGCAGCGAGCTGTTGGAGAAGCGGGGCGATGAGCAGGGGCGGCGCCAGAGGGGGCGGGCCGTAGAGCTGGCGGGAGTCAGGGGCATGGGAAGTGGCGCCGAGAAGAGGAGGGGAGAGGAGTTGCGGCACGGGAGGAAGGCGAGGGTCGAGAAGGGGGTGACCAAGAAGCTAGCGCCAGCGTGGAACGAGGCGGGGCGAGGCGGGGACAGGGCGCGGAGCAAGGAGAGAGAGAAAGGCGCGGCGAGGCCTCGCGGCGGGAGGAAGGCCAGCGGCGAGAAGTCCAGGGGCCGAGCGAGGGCCTGCAGCGAGAAGGGGCGGGGCGGGCAGGGGCGTGGCCAGAGGAAGGGGCGGGGCGAGGAGCCAGCGTGGGAAGAAAAGCTCACTAAGGACCGGGTGGCAGGGTGGGACTTGGGGGTGCAGGACGAGGACCCGGAGAGGGTGGAGGCTAGATATACAACCCGGTTCCTGGTCAGGGTCAAAGTGAGGAGAAAGGGGCGGTGCGAAGAGAAGTTGAGGGGCAGGGCAAGAAGCGGGCGCGCCAGGTGGAAGAACAAGGGTGCGCCGGCAGACAGGAGCGTGTCAGTGAAAAGTAGGAAGGGCTCTGCCAAAGCGAGGAAAAGGAACGCAGGGCGGGCCAAGTTCAGGGGCGGAATACAGACGGCAGGTCGAGCAAGGAGCAAGTGCAGGGCAAAGCTAAGGGGAGAGACGAGGAGGCGGGACAAAACGAGGTGCAGGAGCAGGGGCGCGGCCAGAAGCGTCAGTCGGGGTTGGGCCCAGAGTCACTGCAGAGGTGGGACCTACAAGGGGGGCAGGGGCGGAGCCAGAAGCAAAAGCAGGGGCGGGTCC